CCCCCGCCCCAGGGAAAAAAGCCCCGCCAGGCCAGTACTAGTGTACACAGAGTGCGCTCCTGCCCGCTCAGTAAACGTGGCTCATGGGGGAGACGTTCTTTGCCGTCAAGCCAGCAGCGTTTCCACGGTCTGACCGTAGCGCCCCGGCAGCGTGGCTAAGAGCGGCACAGAGCACACGTACCCTCAGTCCCGCCCAAGCGTGGCTGGAATGCGTCCAGTCGAGAGCTCTAACACACGGCGGGGACCCGGGGATCCACCGATGGGCAGAAAGGATCTGAAGTAGATTCTTCTCTTGCTGCCCCATGGCATACTCCTCTGCACCCCAAAACACCCAAGGGACCTGCACGGATTCATTCCTCTCCACGTGAGCCAATCAGACAAGTGCCCTTGCCCAGCAAGGACGGGAAGCAGCTAGGGAACGAGAAGATGCTTAGCTGTCAGCCAGGTGTGGGTGGAGGGCACTTACCAGAGGAACTCAGCTGGCTGGCTTTGATGGGAACATGCAACTCGGACTGGCTGGATCGAGTATCGGAGCCATCGCACAGCCCCGGGCCTTCTGTCTGACCCGCAGGGGAGGAGGCGATCTCAGCCAAAACCTCCAGGTCCTTCAGGATAACCTGCAAGAACACAGACAGCACGGAGGTGAGCCAGGACACGGCCCAGCGGCAGGAGGGGACACGCTTCGGGCCCTCTCTCTAGGGGCTGAGAGCACATGGGATCCAGGCTGAGCCCAGCGACTGGTGCGGACAAGGGAGGTGGAAGCGGGGAGCCAGGACGCCACCTCCCAGTGAAGTTCCAGGCCTACGCCAGCCGAGAGGGTGGGGCAGAGAAACTGCAACGGGCAGGTGGTCATTAAACGTGGGCCAAACCCCCAGAGCCAGGGCTTCCCGCCCTCCACCCAGAGCATCAGAGGCCGCCAGCTGCACTTCGGAAGGGACGACTTCGGGTACCGGTGGGAACTGGACTGGTGTAAAGCAGCCGGGCAGGCAGCCTGGGAATCAATGCAGCTCCGGACAGTAGCTTTCCGCTCCCAGGGCGCTAGCAGCCCACGCCCCACGAGGCAAGTCCTTCGGCCCAGCAGAGAGCAGCGCCGCGAGGAGCTGAGACCTGCTGATTCGTCTCGCCGCGGCGCCGCCGCAGGCTAATGCTGACTGTTTAAAACGGCAACGCTCACCTGAGCCAGCCAGTTCGAGAGGCGGCTAGCGGACGGACGTCCCTAGCCTTGGGCGCGGGATCGGCCATTGGGATTAACCAGCTAAGCAGACAGACCACTCGATTGTCGTGAAGGGTGCGCCACCTTTGAAGCGTGTAGCGGGCTGTGGCTACACCTTAAAGCGAAAGCGCTGCGGGCAGCCCGGGGCCAGCAGGGAACTCGAGCAGCCCCCTGCTGGCCCCGTGCTCTCCATGGCATTTCAAAGCAGCAGTGCTGCATGGAGCCCTGGGTCAGCAGGGGAGTCCCCAGCTAGCCCCGGGCTCCACGCGGCGCTGCTGCTTCGAAATGCCGTTAGCTAGCCCTGGGCGCCATATGGCGCTGTCGCTTTGAAGCACCCCCACTTCTTCCCCCAGCTACCTCCTTCCGATAGAGGCAGCAAGGGGGGAGGCGACTAATTGAGTAGTGTAGCGGGGGGCAGGGGGAGCCAGTTGACTAGCACAGCGGGGGGAGGGGAGGGCACAACCTGACCTGTTGACTAGTGTAGCGGGGGGAAGGGGGAGCGACCAGTTAATTAGCACAGCGGGGGGGAAGGGGGACCAGTTTACCAGCATAGCGGGGGGGGAGGGGCGACCAGTTGACTAGCGTAGTGGGGGGCGGGAGGGGGAAGGGAGAGTGACCAGTTGACCAGCATAGGGGGAGGGGGAAGGGGGAGCGACCAGTTGACCAGCATAGCGGGGGGCGGGAGGGGGAAGCGACCAGTTGACCAGCATGGCGGGGGGCGACCAGCATGTCGACTATCCAATACACCTTTGCTTATGGGCTAATCCACTAGTTGCTGACATCCCTACGCGGAACACCTCGTTCCCTGCAAAGGGCGCTGATATTGGCACTAGGCTGAACACGTCCACCTTGCGTGTGCCAGATCTACCAACGCTGGGGACCACCAGCTGCTGCCCTCTCTACACCGCTACCGTGGCAGTTCACAAAACTGATCCCATCCAGCAGCAAGGGGTCCTACTCCATCCCCAGATGTTTTACTGATCATGTCCCTCACACCTTTCTCCTACTTGCAGGAGGTCTGTGAGGGAAGCAAACCACCGAAGAGACAGGCTGTTACCAGAAGGGCTCCCGCGCACACCCCCCAGATGAGCACAGCCTCAACAGCTTCCTCTGGTACTTGGCCTCTTACCGCCCCCGCTCCCGGAGTTGTGAGATCAGCCGGGAATTCCAGCTTTGACTTGCTGCTTTGAAAAGTACCATTCTAGTCCTGGCTGCAGAGAAGCGCTGGAAACGGGCCCCAGCAGCTCGAGAGGCAGGAGGCAAACCAAGACCCAAATGTGGTTTTAAACCGGGATTTTGAAGCCCCTTGTGACTTTTGAAGTTTTGGGGGTGGCAGTCCACTGCCTCCAAGTGCTTAGACAGTCAAGCTACAGGCCAGGGGCATCACACCCGTCACAGCTGTGGGGAATTCGGAGCCATGACTCAGGCGGCGAGACCACCGTGCTGCGTTCCCTCGCCACCCTGTCCCGAGACAGACCCAACCTCTGCCTGAGCGCCCGATGGCCTCAGAAGGCCCGAGGGACAGGGAATCCACCATTCTCTCCCGGCCAAGCCAGCAAGTGACCCACGCCCCACCCTACGGAAAAGGCAACTTCATCCCTACTCAGCCTGACCCCACGCATGGTGTGAGACCACCAGCCAGGCGCCTGGGGAAGGGTTCTCTGCAGTAACTCAGAGCCCGAGTCCCAGCCAACGGGGAGCTCCGCTAAGGGTGCAGATGGGCATGTACCATTGCAGGCAGCCTCAGTTAAGGGCCAGAAGGAGGATCCAGCCCTGCAGATGCTTTGCCTGGTCGCTGCCCTGCAGGACTTGCTTCTCCCTTAGCCCCCAGGCCTGTTTCTGCACAAGAGCATCTCAAGCAGCTTCTCTGCAGCCTGCATTCCTGTGCAGCAAGCTGGGGGGAGGGGGATTTCCAGCCCAGCAGCGTGCTGCCCAGTAACACCCTGTGCAGACAATCCCTTTGAATCTCGGCCAGATGCAGGAGACAAAACACGCTGATTTGGGGATGCAAATAGCAGCTCTCTGCTGATTGCGGCGTCTGTTTCCTGTGAAAGGCCTGAGGCGCGGGGCTCGGAAGCACACAGCTGAACACGCACAGCCCCCTCCCACCCATTTTTAATCGGCCAACGCTCCTGTTCCCAAGCACACGGTGGTGCCGAAGCGAGCAGCAGTCTCCCAAGCCATCCCTGGCCGAAAGCATTCCTGGGAAGGAGCAGAGGCCAGAAAACAGACCATCCTCTGAGCAGATGCAGCCCCTTCCAACCCAGGCCCAGCTCTGTGCAGGTGGCTCCCAGGCAGGAGAGAAACACGCCTATTCTTGGTTCAGCCTTGGCTGCTGGAAGCATAGTCCCCTGGAGCAAGCCAAGCCCAGCCAAGCGGGGAGTGTCTGAGCCTACAGGGACCGGAGCTTGGAAACCTGAAAAACAAAAGGCTCCAATCCACAGGGGAGGCCCCTGCGCACACAAACATTGTTAAGTAACCGCATGCAGCTTCCTCCAGGGGAAGTAAGGACGACAACAATCCCCGCGCCAGGGCCGCGGCCGGGCACTGCTGGAGAGAAACGGCAAAGCGCGACAGCCCCGGGGTGCGGAACAAAGCCTGGGAGATGCAGCCCAGGCTGGGCTAGCACAGGCATTTCAAGCCCTGTTTCTTCTGGGCCTGAGATTTCTCCTGGGTCGGCCCAGCTCCGGAGTGAATGCATCTGGCAGCGGGCTCGGGGCAGGTCTCCAAGTGAATCAGCCGTGTGCAGTCATCCACACGAAGGGCTCTCCTGGGTCTCCAATCACTCTACCTGGGTGCAACCGTTGTCACTCAGAGGTGGTTCTCCTAGCCGGACGGGAGAACACTGCTGTGAGCCCACAGCGTCTCCACCTGACGCGCTGCAGCCCAGCCCCCTCAGATACGGCTTTGGCCGACAGCGGGAGAGGGACTCGGCAGAGCGTGAGCAAGCGAGGGAACGCGGTCTGGAAATGGAAGTTACCTAGGTCTGAGAACAGCGGTCCCAAGTCAGCCCAGGTCTGTGGCAGCCGATGGAAATTGTCCCATGGACCGGAGGGCCTGGTCCCCGAGGCGTGCCCAGGGAGCATACTGCCTTCCGGGGGAGTTCTGCAGAAAAGGTGCCAACGACCCCGGGGCCGGTAGTTCCACCCCCCCCAACGGGCAGGGCCCTACCCGACAAGCGATCGGGGCCCAGCTCCTCTTCCCACCACAACTAGCGGTCACGCAGCCGTGCGCCAAGAGGCGCTGCCACAGGGCCCTGGCGATACAGAGCAGTAACGGGGCTGGGCCCCAGCCATGCACAGAGCACGGTTGTGTCTGCCTTCCCCGGGTCCTGTCAGCACGTGCACAGCAGGGAGCCTGCGAGGGGCACACAGCTGTGAACGGGTTACGGGATGCCAACAAGGCAGCCGGCCCGCCTCCTTCCCCGCGGGGTGGGGCAGGACCCCTGCAATGCCCTGCCTAGCCACTGGGACATGCACAAAATCAGCTGCAATTCAGCTGGGGCGCCTGAGTAAGCTGCTGTGTGGACAGAACTAAGCTTATTTCACAGCCCCCCCCAGGCAGCTCCAGGCCTCCTCGTACTTCGAGCACGAGGCGCCCTTAAGCAGGGCATCTGGGTCCTGGGACAGTGCTCACTGGCAGCGTGGACATGAGCACGGCACGTTCCTGGCACCATTCGCATCCCTCAGTCTCAGCTGGCACCCACGCCACAGGTCAGAGAGGCCTTGGTTTTTTCCAAGCTGACAGTGCCATGAACGGTGCCACGGCCTGAGGAGACCCCGAGGAGACCAGAGCTGCAGCTCCTGGCTGCGAAAGGCAGGGCTGCTGGGTGTGACAGTAACACAGATGTAGGCCTAATCCGCTCCCTTTTAACCACGCACAGAGCGATGGGGCACTCAGCTGCCAGGAACAGCTCACGTGTGCAGGCCGGGGAGGGCTGATCAGCATGGCAAGACCAAACCACACAGCGACACGGTTAGGGAGCTGCCGCATCGCCCCACACACCCAGCAAAGCCCTTAGCACCAACAGAGCCTCAGATGCTTCTTAAACAGGGTCGAACAGTGTGAAACTGCCCCTGCCAACTCCGTGTGAACAGGGCCAAGCAGAGCTCATAACCCAGCCTGCAAGCCAAGGCAGGGAACGAGGCCGCAAGCCCGTTTCTGCCCCTGCTCAGCTCACGGGCTGGCTCTGGCCCACAGCCAAGTGAACTCCTTTCAAATGAATCACTGCAGCCAAAGTAGCCCTGAAACCAAGCCAGGGACCTGGGCTCAACCCAGCATCGCCAGCACTTGTGTCAGGACACACCTGCTGCACAGCCAGAACCAGACAGACCAGGACCTGTGCTGGGCAGGTCAGACCAGAGGATCGCCCTGGCCCTTGCTGACCTGAGCGACTGCTGAAAG